TGTCATGTTATGTTATGATTTTAATTTAAATCATGCGAAGGTCATAAATGCAAGTAATACAACCCACACTAATAACACGGAAAGCGTGGACGGTATTGGCACTTTGACAGTAATCATAATGGCGGATAATAATTATTCACGTTACTGAGAACAAAGGACATGTAATAATACATAATATCATATCATCACGCTACTTCTCATCTCAGTGACAACAATGGTAATGTTTAAATGTTGCAGTTGTAAGTACTTAAAGATTAAACAAATGAGACTTGGTGCAATCAAATTGAAGGTGTTGTGTTGGTTGAACAGTTCTGCTCTCTTTTATGATATTTAAAACTGATATTTCTCTGTTTACAATAAATTAAAAAGGTTGTACGTATTGTTTTTAGCGAAAATTATAAGTAAACGTCTACAGAGTCGTGGAGAACCTAACCTAACCGGGGTAAACGGGTCCCATGTAATAGGGGGTGAGTCTATTGCCATATACCGGGCACGATTCTAGACTCCGTGCTAAAACTGTGAGTTAAAAACCAAGTTTACCCGACCCGGGAATCGAAACCGAACCCCCTAGCCCGACGAGGCAGTTTTAAGATCTTTAAACCTCTTTAGAGTCCGTTATCATTAATCGTGATGACAAAATATCGCGAGTATGAAGCATAAAGCGTTTTGTGATAAGTCGATTTTTAACTCGTCGAGTACCGGTTTTATAGACACAATTAAAGAACAATAGGTCGCGGTCACCGGTGACCGCTTGGTGTTTGACAGTTTAACTTATAATTAATCATGGCCACATCTTACTTAATCAGATTGCTTCGTAACTACAGAAATAATAAAGATTTGAAACGCTATTCTATAAAATATTTGACCTTTACGATATTAAATGTGACCAAACAGAGAAATTTCGTCTAAGCACCAACTTAGACAGGTTTTACAGTTATGTATACCTATATATGAATAATTATATTGATTCGCAATACGATGTTCGATAGACTAATACATAATTAGCTATGTTTTATAATAATTGTCGCACTGAATTAACTAAAAATCGCGGGTTACTCGGTGTTACTTACTACGAGAAAAGTTCTACTCACAGAAATATTAAAAACTTCTTTATTATATCTGTGGTTCTACTGCACATTGCACGGCAGCCGGTTGCCCAGCCACCGCGCTAACCGTGCAGTCCTTGAAAACAAATGATCAATACTGACCTCTTTAAAACATTATTACCTAAAAGGTTCTTTGCTTAAACATTCATCCATTGCAATTGTAAGATTAAATAATTTATGGAAATCTTGAAGAAGTTACAGCTGAATAAATTTTCTACATAACTTATTTTACCCATAATTATTCTCAAAAGTATCCTATTCGGATATCATTAAGTTTACTGAACCTTTTTATAAACCTCCTTAAGATTTCTAACGACTGCGATGTGGATAATTTTTTCGCACCTTAAGTTAGCTATTCGTTTTTTATTTCCTTTTTAAGTTTTCTTATATAAGTACAGCTACATATAATATTAATTTATTTTTAAATTGTAAATATTTAATCTTTGTTTTTATTATTATTTTAGTCATCGATATTATTCGTATTGTACAGTTATTTAAATTATAATATATTACTCATATGTGAGCTTAAAAAAATCATCAGCTTTCATTTAAAGAACAGATTCAATCCATACATATAAACATTAAGTTTATTATCTAATTAAATACTACAAATCAATTAAGCCTTAACATCCGACATGTTATGAAAGCTGATTGAAAATGAAAGTCAATTAGAAACCTACTTAGTAGATTATATTGGAGATAAAATTAATTTTATTGCAAAAAGCTTATGCATTGATGTAGTTTTATATTGGTTTAACGTCTTGGTTTCATGTTTTTGTTAAGTATCATAACATGATCATGTTGTTGCGCTGTCTGTCCATTGCCAACAATAATATTTAAAAGATTAATAAATTATTATGTTTTCGGCTTACTCACGTAATAATTTGACGAGGAACTCGACTAGTTTCAAGCCGACTACGGTAACCGACTAGTCGAGTACCTCGTCAAATTATTAGTATTTTTTAATTTCTCTATTCCATTCAAACTATAACGTACTCTATTTCTTAACAACACAAGTATACTAGCCCTAATATCCACTCCCTATAAGGATATGCCTATGCTACCAGCCTCTTAGACTATTAAACAAATTTCTAATGCCTAAAAGGCCGGTAACGCATTAGTAACAGCTCTGGTGTTTCAGGTGCCCATGGGCGACGCCAATTGCTTACCATCAGGTCATCCGAATGCTCGTTTGCCGGTTTATTAAAAAAAAACATACAATAAACAAACTACTTTTTTTTGTTAAAATCCCGTTGGTAGTTTATTCTACAATACCTACTAAACAACTACACAATTATACGATAAGCTCTATCGTGATACATTTCCTTGTTCAAATTAAAAATAGGACACTACTTATCGTGCAATGACCTCTGTGTTAAATAGAGCGACAATTAACTAATGGTACTTATTTTATTAAGGTCTTATATTTGCATCGTTTCTCAATATTGTTTAATATTGTGCCTGAATATAAATAAAATGTTTACTGTTCTATAATATACAGTAGTTTACAGAATAGTTTACAGTAGTAACACGGAGTCTGGAATTGTGCCCGGTATATGGCAATAGGCTCACCCCCTATTACATGGGACTCTAACATAAATAGTGAAAAATGGGTGTTACTTCTGTGTGCACCTCTGCCTACGCCTTCGGGGATAAAAGGAGTGATGTTATGTTATGTTCTATAATATCTTGTTTCAAGTTCCAATCTAGTCAATCTACCATAACTGTTATTAACTTTCAGTCTATTCCAAACGTGCATTTTCAATATTATAAATAATTTACGCAGTTTTCAAATCAATGTAAACGAGGCTTGAAAGTGGATAGTTTCACTTCTTTAATATGTAATAATCTGTTAATTAGCATTACCTATATAAATAAAAATGAATTTCCATTCGTTTGTCCCGCTAAAACTCGAGAACGGCTGCACCGATTTGGCTAATTTTGATCTTAAAACGTTCGTGGTGAGAAAAAAGGCTAAAGCTAGTCTATCATAAATTTCACTATCTATCTATTCCCAAGCAATAAAAAATTACGGCGCCAAGGAGCCACCACAGATGGGGCCCAATAGGACTGATGGCGATACGGAGCCGCGGAGGACTTAACGGGTTCCCGGGCCTTCGGCTCGAAGTGCAGTAAGAGTCTGACACTCCCACTCGCATCACCCGGGCGGGAAAAGTATTTGGTTGATTTTTCCCCTCAAAAAAAAAGCAATAAAACATTAATGTATACAACGATCGTTATAATAATCGTATTTAATTCAAGTTATACAATAAAATAATAGTAAATTAATAATCAACAGGTGAATACAAAGAGAATAAGGCAATGAAACGAGGAGTTGACAGCATTCTGTACCATTGCAAAACCAGCAAAAACCTCTTTTGTCTTGCTGACAAGAATCCGATGTTATCTATCAACGACTGGGCCAAATACTTGCATAATTACTAAACGACTAGTGTACTGTACTAAACAACCATAAAGGAGAGATAAGAGAGTTTTAGGCAATTACAATTGCTTGTAGATATAACAAGAATAGACGTATCGCAATGAGACAACAGCATCATCTTTCGTGAGTCATTGCAGACACAAAGAAGTATGAGTACCTATTTGTTTACTACACAGTTTAAAACTAAACAAACTCGACGTAATCTTAAAAAGTTTAAACAAAATTTCTCCAAAGCCAATAAGTAATACGGAGAAACCAAAATAAGTACAACCACATACAAGCTTCCTTTATCGCAGAATCTGCTAACCAAAAAATCGTGTTGATGACAGACAAAAACTGGTCCAAACATTACCCAAATACATCTTCACCCAATTCGTGAGATAAACATCCAGTATTCGAACAGTTCGGTCCCCTCGCGACCTTCCCAGCCATCTACGAAAAAAAAAACACGACGACGCAAGCGCACCTCCCGTCAGACGAGACGCGCAGGACCGGTTACTTAGTGGCACGAGAGATTTCACCTGCGATCGATTCTGATGTTAAACTTATATTCATTTTACTAAGAAAGCGTCATGATCGAGCTGTAATCGAGAATTGGCGAGTCGATATTATCTATATGCTGTCGATTCATCGATATAATCTGTATGCTGATTGCTGTATGGAGATCATTCTGCGTCGGCGTCGCTTTCTGCACTTGCAATGACCATCAATCTCAATTAAACATGTTTTGGCGTGACAATCCCCTGTTCAGTTGAAATGGCTATCAATTGGCCTACATCTGGTACTCAGTGTTTATGTTTATTAACAAGGATAGTCATAGATACCATAAATAAAAAAGAAAGTAGTTCGCCATGTTTAGATCACCTGTGCAAATCTCATTGTGTAATCTGTATAATCGCCACAACTCTCAGGTGCTGCAGGTGCATAATATTATAATTCATTCACAATATCTATGTTTTTATTGTTTAGACCACAAACAAGTCTTTATTTACTTATAAATCTGATCTATTCTACCTTTTTTGTTTTAAGAAAACATACATGCTTCATTATTGTAATAATATTCATTGACGACATAGAAAAACCTAAATCGATTCAAAGATTTGACATAAAATTGTAGAATCGCTTTAACATAACGGTATTGTAAACTAAAATGTCTCGTAAACCAAGGCCTTCCTAAGGTCACTTTTCAATAACAACCTTAACAATCATTGTTAAATGGAAATTATTACGTTTTTGTAGTGTTCGGCAATAAAATAAGGTGCAATTATTGTTACAGCAAGTTCATATGTAATTTTGTTAGAAGGTTGTATTTGCTGTACAACAAAACTTAGCCATTACATAGAGTTTGAGTGCGAAACTTGAACAATAATTGGATAATGACTTTTATTTCCCTCCGTGAAAGATACTGCTTAATAAGTATTTTACTAATAATCTTATTAAAAGCAACATTCTTATTCATCTTCATCTTCCTTGAGCCACAAACCGATTTTGATCGAAGAAACTATTGGAAGACACTACATTTTATTAATAGACGCCTAACCTCACTTTTTGCAACCTCTTTTTTTAACACACCATCAAAGAGGTCAGCTCAATTACATCCGTCTGAGCTACTAGGAGCAAAGCATAAATTAAGCCATTCTTAAAACCAATCTTAAGTCTAAATCACTAAGTATCATTTTCAATCATCCAAATAGCTAAATTGGGCTGGTCTAACCAGTAATTTCACACGTCAAACTGCACTGTTACCAAATTATTCGCTCGCATGACTGTTGTCGATTATAAATACGTGGAGTTATACTTATACTTGCATCCAGGTCGTTGCTTAACCGACTATTGTCTTGAAACCAGATATTTGAGACAGCAACGCGTTTAGCCAGTTTGTTTCTATGATATACTGACTTCGCTACTTTTGCTTTATGTCTGTGTTGAAATTGAATCGTTTTGTTGGATAATAAAGTTAATTAAGCTAATGTTTTGTTAAGTAATAATTGCGATTACTTAATTCTAATAGATATTAAACTATACTCAATATTATTTATGCTGAAAAAGAGAAATGGTCTTAGAAATATTAAAACCTTCGAACCTACGAATCTGTCCTGCGATCCTGTCCTAATTCATTGAAAACTACAGAACATATGTAAGTCTTAACCTTATACTTTCTATCTTGCCATGAAAGTCACAAATTTAACAATTTTCCACACATATAATTGGATTTTACTAGAATATAAAGTTGACGTTAACCACTAAAGGTTAACCGTCAAGGTTACTAATTGCATGTTCTTACACATAACTTTATGAGTAAATAATTGTACAATGACCAACAAATATATACAAGAATTTAACAATACATAGAAACGAACAATATTTGAGAAGAAATAATTATATATATGTTTACCCTACCACTGTTTCGCCACTATTTCGATATTTTGACCTCTATCTCGACGTTAATATATCTATCGAGCTATTGTTAATATTATACCCTTCAGGGAAGTAGGCAATTTGGTACAGTTATTTTTATTTTTTCTATCTGTTGTTATGTCGCATCGACGACCTGTAGTTTTTTCAGTAGGAGTTTGAACTAAGTTGGTTTAAAATAAGACGTAAGTGGTTTTAAAACCTAGGTAATGTAATTTACATACTTATCGCATTCAGTCACTCAAAAGTAATTGAATACTAATTCAATGTCAATTGTTTCTACTAACGACATTAAGGTTTTTGATAAAAAAAGTTTAATCAGGGCCGATTTTTCAAGAATCAGTTGAGTCTTGACTGTGGAATAAAATTGACTTTCGCCGATTTTTAGTATGGAAGAATTGGCAAATATTAAAGGTTATTCTTGAGTTAAGAAAAATCGGCCCTAAATTAGATATGTAGCTCTTTACTTAATTAACTATTCCGATCTTCCTCTCCAATATCATTGCGATAGAGCTCAAAATGCAATGTATACATAGGAAAAAGGAGGAGGTTTGTGTACACTCCCAAAAATTTAGCCTTGATATGAGAAACTGCAGAACATACTATTCCCGTTTCCTATGGTCCATTGTCTTTTAACAAATAACATGGTTTAAAGGCATGGAGTCAAGGCCGCGGCCTCCGTACGTAGGCGGGTTCCGCACCTATTGTTATATCGGATACACTATTATTGACTATTTCACCATTCACCAATATTTGGATTTAATCTTTGCGAAGTTTGACACGAACTACTTAAGAACTACCTTGTAAATCTGTTTCTTATTAGTGTTGCCTCGTAGAAATAATCCTAGACTTCGGGCAAAATTTTGTATTTTTCCTAAAACCGTAACTTCAATGAGTTAATTTTAATTTCTGTTTGAAATAACATTCGAGATCAACAAAATTATTTTAAATGACAAACTATGTAAGAAGTAGCTATTCGTGTCAAGTTAATTACTCCTAATCCTAATGAATAAAACTATTAAAAAGTTATTATTCAACAGAATCTATTTGCTTACAGAATCAACTAGATTCTGTTTTAAAACAATTTAACACTTAGGAAAATGCGTATTAAAAATAACTTAGAAAACTTTGGAAAAAATCATTTAAAGAAACTTAAACATAACGTGTTCTTGAACAATTTGTTAACAGCTACGATTTTATTTTTTATTTTTTTATACTTTACAGGTCGACGTTTGACCACCATCTCGCCTGATGGTAAGCGATGATGCGGTCTACGATGGAGCACGCCTACCTATGAGCAACCTGTTTTCTAGGTAGATTTTGTTATCTAGGCAGATACATACCTGCTTTAAAATAATGTCAATTATATAGATACCTACATACTATTAGTATCTATCTATCTGTCCTCTGTCCTCTGTCAGTCTCTGAAGAATGTGTGAATTTGCATTACAATTATCATTCAAGTGCCAAGCAAAGACAAACGTGACGTTCCTACGAAGTCCAGCCTTGGAACAAACATGTCAATCACGTTCTGAACAATATTTTATCTGTTTTTTGAATAGTTATATGTTATCTATGTTAATTTGAGAGATAATAGTGAGACGTGAGACAATTCTTAGTTAATGGTGTAGTAATTATAGATTCATTGATTAGATGCTGCGGTCTAGGTATATTGTGCAAGATTACTACGATGAAATGAGTATGTAACGCATTATAAACTGTAAATAGGTGTCTATAACTTTTTGTTTTATGTCTTTACTCTCAAAAGGCTTCTAATTATATTTCCAAAGAAATTATTGTAAATTAAGCTCTAGAAGGTCGAATAACAATATATATATCTACGTCTTCGTTTACAGTAAAGATGATGTGTAAACCAAAACTACCAGTGACCGAAATTAAAATCTTCACTCATCACAATGTTCTCACTTTGAATTCCATCATAATTATTTGTAAACAAATCAAGACAAATCAACATCTGTATTCCAATTTCAAATTTCAATTCCAACCAGCCAGTTTTCACTTCCACAGACAATTATCGCGAAAGTCAGCAACAATTAAGCAAAGGAACACAGTTTACGGCCAATTAATATGCGACCATAGACTATTAATTTAAAAATTGTGTATCACGTTTGGCCTAGACCTTAGGACTACAAAAATAGGGGTCTATATAGCCTCGAAGTCTTTATAAAGAATATGGTGGTATGGCTTGAATATATGAAATTTAATTAAGGCCTCCACTTTCGAATGCGGCTGGGTCAACGGAAGCGGCAGTGGAGATCTTGAATTAAAAGGTTCAAGGTGTGACATCGTGGGTGTGGCATTGAGAGACTTTGTTGTGCCAGTATAAATGTAGGAGAGAGTTAAATAACATATTGTTCCCATAATATAGAATTTTAAGAGATTTTTTGGTACCATCCGCATTGTTACAGACTTGTTTACTGAGAAAATAAGTACCTAAATAGAAGCGTCTAGTTTTCAGAACGTACAACACCAAATTAAAATGCATTTAATGCAACTTTAGCTAATTTAATTTTGATGAAGAGAAAGATCCTAAATATACTTCTGAATGATGAATAACTTCCTTCTAATGATCATTGAAATCTTTTTATAGGGTACTTATCTCAATAACGACGCTGAAACTTCGCTCTTAGCAGGCGCCTCTTATGACCAGTCAACCACCAAGACCATAAAACATTGAGCTCATAAAACTACACTGTGATGGTATCACTGACGTACAAGACATAATATTTGCTTTATATGAGCTATAAATCATTATACAATAACAACAAAACTTTTAACTAAGTGGTAGATCATAAGCAATCATAAAACAATTAGGAGCTACGAACGCTCGTTTTAAACCTTTATCTATAACAGATAAATAAAATGGGAGCGTCTGTTTACATTATTGAAATGACCGCCTTTTACTACATGCATAATACACATATGAAACATTTACCAAATTAATACTTTTTAAAAATTTTGTCTGTCTGTCTATTTATACTGGCTTATCTCTGAAATGACTGGACCGATATTGACGGGACTTTTACTGGCTGGACGCGAACAGGCGAACATCTCTTATCACTCCTAGTATCTAACACGATCTATGAAGACAGCCACTCTACATAAAGACGAATAAAGGTCTCGATACAGACCAAAGCAAGAGCTAAAGAAGTCAGTAGAGAAATGTACACTGAACGTAAGTTTAACCATGAACACATCTCTCAAACGTTTCTAAAGAAATCTTCAATTTCTAAACACGTTCTAAAACTAGAGAGCCTGTCATTACAGAATATATAATATGTATGTAAGTATAGATTCATATGTAACTAAAGCAGTGAGTAACCCAGATGTTTCAGTTCTTGTACATACAGACCATAACCATTATTGTTCTCAACTCACAGTTACGACTTTACCGTACGACTACTGACCAGACAACATTCCACACAAATATAAACTTTAATTACACAGCAATAAAACCGTCAATTCCGCAACAGTGTCAAGCTATATGCCCTGGACACACGCAACTTTACACGCTGCTTCAGTATTTATAGAATTCAATATCGTTTAGTAAAGATTATGGTTAATAATGCACCATAGCTATAAAGTATGGACAATTAGATAAAACAAAGTAAACCGTTTGAGTGAATTTCTCGGATGCTGGTCATCCATAGTAATGAGGTAGTTATTAGTTATTTAGTTCAAGACATGAGTATAAAAACCATAAAATGTTCAGGTAGCATAGTTATAGCTGTAGCTATTTTTAATTACATTTTGTTCATTTCATTACACTTTAGTACAATCTTTGTGGATCATCGTTAGATGCACGTCAGGTGATACGAACAAATTCTAGGAATGTAACGTAATTCAACATCATTATGGTCTTCTATGAAATAACTGTGGCATATATTTTAAATACTTAAAAGCACGTTAGGCACATATGTTTAAGAAAACACAATAAACAGTACTTCACAAACTTGATGGTTTTATGACCCGAAGGACCAAAAAGACCAAAACTTTAGAAACACTAATAGAAGCTCCATTGATAAAAAAAAACAATAATTTTATAATCATACGCACAGTTATTTCGATAAATCAATACTTTATTTATTTGTGTGCTCATTAATTTTAAGTTTAATCAACGTCCAAGGTTCAAGCGATGACTAATACCAATAAATATCGGATTAGGCTTGTGAATGGCGCAAAATGGGCACATGACCAACTCCTTTGTAATTGTAATTGTAAGTATGCAATAACTAAACACATTCTAGATCTACACTCGTATTATAGATGGCCTTGTCAACGAACAAAAAACTACATTGGTTTAATCTCAAATTGCTAATGCGTATCACATATACCTGCTGCAAATACACTAGTCAATCTTTCGCAAATCTTTGCAAACATTCTAGAATTCATAGCGATATTTGTTTTAATCAATGAGTAACATCCAAAAAGATGTCCTCAAACGTTTCGGATGTAACGTTTAGAGCCTTCATTTACCTGGACGTAGACCTCCGAAACTAAAGACCCTTTTTAGGGTCTACTATCATTGTTTCCGGTAAAGTATCTCAAGGCTTATACGGAGTCCTTTATCCTAAAAATGTTGAACCAGCATCTCGTGATAGACGAATGAGTTGCAAAGTCAGCTTTATCAACATAAAATTAAGGTAAGTAATGAGTTCTTACCTGAAGGTGGTCGTTCCTTGGGGTAGCAAATACGGAAGAGACCCCGTGTCCTCGTGTAGAAGTAATATTTGTTGTTGAGACTATCCAGAATCGTCTGTGAGTTGCCCGCTGCGTTCTCCGCTGCATAATTCTAGAACAATAAGAAAATGAGATATAATAAAGTATGTATATCAATTGCTACTTTAGGCTACAAAACTTGTTTTAAATTAGTCTTTCGAAAAACAAAACATAAACGTTGACACAAAGACAATGAAACGGTATAGAATAACATTGATATCGTTAAGTCAATAAGCTCAATGCATTGTATAATTAAAATGCGATTTTAAGACTCCGTCTAACGGCCACAATAGCCTGCAGTCGAGCGGTAGTCGACCACGTAATTATATGAAACTGGTCGTGAACCGCATTCCTCTCGAGGCCTCCAAGGAACGAAGGCCGGAACGGATTGATTACCTTCAAGGGCATTCGAGGACCTCATTTGGGAAAAAGGACTCGATTTGTAGTGAAAATATTCTGGTCTTTCTTATGCTTGGGAATTTAAAGACATTCTTCAATAACCATCTTGTAAAGAAGGCTTATCAAGAATTTCGAATATTCTTGTCCTTGCACTTTTTACAACTTTTTAGTTTTATCGTCTTCTTTCAAATAATAATTAACTATGAACGCGTGCATTGTCCTGTTACAGTACAATATCAGAAAGTAATTGTTATTATAACACCTACACACGGTATAATTCTCAAAATTAACAATTAACAAGCAATTATCTGACCATGTTTATTGTTTATGTTCGAAGTATTATCCTGGTACAGGATACTTCACTCAGATACAGACATTATTGTGCAAATATGTATGATTTTATTTACAAACCAGTGGTTGTTATTGCTAAGAAACTAAAGGTCTTTTTCACCAACCCCTAAACCATTTCTTAACTAAAAGGTAAGCGTGACGTAGCACCAAACCAACTCCTTACTTGTACTGTTTTGTGTCACTTATTGGTTGGTGAAAACCACAATGACCTCAACTGCCACCTATCTTAGGTTAGGGGCTTATTAAAATTTAGGAGAGGTTGGACGAAATCGGCGTAAATTATTTATGACTTTCGAACAAATTCTCAGTAATATTACTATTGCCGCGCGTTTAAATGTACACTGAATGATTTAGCTCATTAGAAAGTAGATATGGACGGACAGAAAGACGCCTTGATGTTCCTAACACGGTTAAACTTACAAGACAAGTGTTCAGCCTTAACAAACGTTTGCCTTTAAATGAACATTAAGGGGCTCGTTTATGCTAAACACCTCCGGCGATCTAAGTGCTTAGTAATTGCGGAGTTCGCAGCTGTGAAAGTGTCATGTTAATACACATAAGCCTATAATACAAGTTATAGACTTGCATTTAATCTTGGCCTTTCATATATGACTCATGTTTACTACGAAACTGACTAAGAAAGAAACTATGTAGCTACATATTTTAACCGTCGTAAACGGAAGCAATCTTTTCACTCGTAGTATAACAAGCAATAGTTGGTGATATAGATACTATTATTGCACCTGTATAGGTTCTATTACAAAAAGGTCGGTAGCCAAAGGACCAAGCAGAATCACCAGTAACTAAACATCAAACATTGAAGTGAATGGTTGAAAAGTAGTCTATAACAATAGCTATTGTAAAGAAAGACATTGTGCCCAGTTAGACAAGCTTCGCATAATGTTATCAAGTTGTAGTACAAAAGGTTTAGTATGAAATTTAGATTAGGTTTAACGAAAATATAAACCGCGTGCTCTGGTTGGCTGTTTCATTGGAGCCGGCCAGTCAGAATGCCGAATGCAGTCTCGATTCGATTTTGTTAAACGTATACCAGACTCGAATTATGCCCCCAGAGCCTTCCAAACAGCTTTGTCATCGACATTCTAGTTATAAAGCGGATGCCAGCCGTGAGAAACGCGGATCAAAAGGTATTACAAATCCCATCCTTATTCTGAGTATGAAACATGACTAGAATCTATTATTTTATTCCATTTCTATTAATATAGTCATTATTATTTTGAAATTGATAGTAAATTATGTTTCCTTTGTATGTATGTAGAAAAATTTATCTATAGGCTATGCTTCCATTCCAATCAAGAAACAAATTATTAGACACTTGCGCCATAATATACAAAATAATTATGTTTTTCTTCGGTCAGGGAATACTCTTGTGAATACACAATGATTACCCATAAAATAATACATAATACGTAAACTATCAAAATCATAGCTGTATAATTCTACAATACAGTTAAATAGTATTAAAAAAATTAAGAATGAGTGGTTTTTTTACAAGTTTCTTTGCGTTTCGTTTTCGTAGTTCCTTTGACACTGATAGCTGTCCGGTTTTCACATAAACCGGATTGCGCTGTTAGTCGAGAAACAAGTGACTCATTTGATATTTAAAGAAAAAAAATCGATGCTGTCACCCTCATAAAAATATTATTTTTTTATCTTTTTTTTGAGCTCAGGCTTGGCGTATCTGAGATAACCTCTCGACAAAGGTCATCGTGTCTCTAAGCTTTACTAAAAGGACCAGAATCACAAAACTTTGTCCATTTTCCTCCTTTCTCTTAGAGCGTAATACTAGCTCTTAAACAAACAAAACACACACCAATCAAATAGATTCATAACATCATCAAACAAAACATTATCTATAAAATATCTAAGTAATTAAAAACAGACAGAAAAAACTAGACACCAAGTGTACAACTGCTAGCTACTATAGTCTATAATGCAAGGTATTACGGCTTTCTTTATAAAATCACGAGACAATGAAGCGTAGAAAAACATCAACAATGATAGCCCATCAGATGGTGCATTCCATCAAACCGGTTGTAATGACTTCCCGGTGGAAGAGATGAGAGGAAAGAGGCGCCAACGTCATCATTCTTGAGAAAAACGGCTATGATAATGCATTGACATTAATACTGACAATTGACATTGTGTTTATGAGAACTGTTAAGTGATTAAATTGCATTTTGTTTATTTAAGGTTTAATTGTTTGAAGTCAAACATTGTATGTCTAGTGGATAGAAGGACCGACCAGATCAAGTCGATATAGTCCTATATTTTTTTTACGATTTATGGACTTCAATTATCTCTTATGTTTCAATTCTTAGGTTCAAATATTTAGTAAATATATATTTTCACAACTCCGAAAACATATGCTTAATAACAAAACACACCGAATACCTACCAAATACAATTTTTTTCTCAGTTTTTTCGAAAATATTTTTGTAAGTTTCCAATGCGACCGAATTAATTGGTTTATCGATATTTAGGTAAAGCAATTAGTGTTTTTTTCTTCAATTTACTGATGGCTTGATGGGTTCCGTGATTCAACAATTAAGTTCGACTCTTAATATTTGCATGGCCAACAAAATCTAAATCAAATAGTTTTTCCTGTCCAACTAGTCGTGAAAGTTGGTTGTCTGTATGTTTTATTAACTGATCGTCTGTTGTGTACTATTGTCATAACTGCTCACGTCCCTGATTCAGTTCTCTGGTAGACATTGAATACCAAAATAACATAGGTAAACAGTAGTGGCATGCATATATGTACTATTAGGTTTTTTTATGAAGGGAAAATCATCGATAGTCTTCTATTGCCTTGGTGAGGTGGGAGGGAGTGATATTCCGGAATACTGAAACGTTACTCAATTTTAAGTCGTGCTCAAATATTTGCACTCTCTGTCATTTTACAAAGAATATGTAGAGATAGAACTTAAGCACGACTTAAAATTGAGTAGCGTTTCAGTATTCCGACATTAGACTCTTACTGACTAAAAACCACCCCGTTACTACTCTTGCCCTTCGAGCCGGAGCCCCAGCAACCCGTTAAGTCCTCCGCGGCTCCGTATCGGCATCAGCCCTATTGAGCCCCATCCGACTATTAGGTATATAGGTGCCTTCTCCATAATATTTATTTATTTATATATTGCAGGCTATATAACTCATTGATCGGTAGATTTACTCACTAAAGATCTAAAGATAGAATTAGACACGTGTCGTATAGAGCTTATATCTAATTCTATTTCTAGGCAAATTTACAAACAGATATGTTGTTGAAACTGACCGTAAAACAGCTATTCCTAAAGTTATTCAAGTATTGGCACATGGATTTAAATATTTTATCAATGAGAATTCAAATGATATTGGGCATATTATACTCAAAGTACGTAAAAGGCAACTCGTTTTGTATCAACCGCCGAATTTAGTACACTGGTATTTTAACTACTACGAATTTCAAACTGGGTTAAGTAAATCCAGTTTTCCAAGTTTGTGTTAAAATATTTGATCATAAGTATAACTGTGTACTGTGTTAGCGTGAGAGGTACTTTTAAAAAATTGCACTTTAACAGCAATTCTTCTTCGGCGTATACCGAAACCTAATATGCCATAAATGCTCAAATTAAGGTTTATTAATTATTTTAAAGGTGATATATCTTATCCATCTACTTAATGAAAAGACATTTAGATACTGAGTACCTAAAACATAGTTATTCATTACGAAATGAAAAACCAATTTCCCAAAATCTAAATTCATTTTGCTTGCAGAGCTTCGTTTAATTTCTATAAAATGAGTTATCAAGATGTTATCACCGGTCTAATCCCGTCCCACTACGTGTAATGAGAGATCATTAGGTTTTTGCTAGACACTAGCCTCAAGATCATCAGAGCGATCAATCGACGGAGCGAAACGTTTCTTCAACTCGACTAGAGTTCATCGATCGATGTTTTTATCGAGTCAACTAAGCTATCCGATTACGATTATCGATGGGAAAGTGCTATGAAAGTTTATATTTTATTACAGTGTCAATGTTAGGTATGGCGGGAGAAATTTGATGTGTGTGTGTAACAAATCCTGGGGTATTTATTTATTGATTGGTGAGTGGGTAATATATAGTTTTATAAGACATAGTTGTATGAGTTTCCTGAGAAGTGAGTACACTTTTGAGTTTCTTCATGACATAGACTAAACTGAGCCCTTAGTTACCATTAAAACAAGTATTTATAAGGCCTTTATTGACATATAAGAGTGCATACCATTAGGTGTAGTCACAAGCCAGACATGCAGTCAGTTTTATAATTAATAAAAGT